AGTTACTATTTGTCAAAAGATACCATATAATCGACTACGATTTATTTTAATAATTTTTACTAAATAGTTAATTTTTTCTAAGGAGTCTTCTTTCTATAAAGACTTTTCAATATCCTCAGTTATCGAATATTTATTTTGGAAAATAGATTTAATTCTAAAATATCTAACAAAAATGAAGTTTTAAAAATAAAGTAAAAGGTTTAAGTCAAGAAAAAAAGGAATATGCTTGACTAAAACATCTCAAACCAATGCATTGATTAATCTCAATGATCCCTAGAAACATTTTTGATTAACGATTCTCTATGATATTTAAAATTTTCCAATGATTTCCCACCACCGATGTGCAAAAAATATGAAAACGACATTGCATGAAATCTAATATATTATTATATTTACACTTAATTAACCATCTTTGAAAAAAATTATGGACAAATTATCACAATAAACTTTTAAATACTTTATGGTACCCAATAAATTTATTATATAACAATCCCAAGATATTTGAACAAGAAAATTCAACAAAAAGCACTCTGAATGAATAAAAATAATATTTTTATTTCGAATTTCTAAGAGATCAAAAATTACTTTGGAATATTGAATGTTTTCCAAATCATATGAAGTCCTCCCAGTTAGATTTAAACAGATTTAATTTATCCCGCGTTTGTAAATAAAAAAATATACTATTGGAATGAAATTCAAATCGAAGAAAACCAAATAAAGTACCAAATCAGTATAAATGTAATTAATACAAAAAGCTCTTTAATTGAAAAATTTTCTTCGAAAACCTGAATCTTTTCCAAATAAAATGCTATTTATTCTAATCCTAAATTAAATCTTTCATCGCTTTTGAAGCAAATGTTGTAATCAATATTACTCCTCCGTTTTAACTCTTTACAACTCTATCGCTTTTAATGATTCTTTCTTCTTTTCGCATACTATTTTCTGTATTGGATAAAACATTCCTTTTGTCTTCAGATATTTTATGCCGATATACAAGATAAATTTATGAAAAGTAATAATCGTGTGTATACATACATATATAATCGTGTGTATACATACATATATACACACGATTATAATTAAGAATTACGATTATAATTTCAAAATACTGTAAAAAAACCCCACTCAACACAATGAGTTCAAATTTGAACTGAAGATACTTGAAGAAGGGGGAAACGGTATGCCATTATAAAAGCGTTCCGCCGATTTTTCCCATCCAGTTTTGTATGACCATGCCGTGGTGGATGGGATTTTTCACTAACAGTGTCATAATTGTTGAATGATTTGGAAGTCATTTTTAACAATCAAAAAACAATCAAGCACATTGAACACAACAGTTGATTTAATGTGCAACTCATGCCAAATACGTTGCCATTTCCATTCAAAATATCAATGGCAGCCGAATTCACTTTCTTTATGCTGCTTACAGCGCTATCTATTAGTACTATTAGTACACTTTTTTGATGCCGTGCAGTTCCCTCTTCTTAAGTATTTTAATTTCATATTTGAACTCATTATGACGAGAGGTTGTTTTCTACAGCATTTTTGAAAGTGGGACTTTAATTATAATCACCCTGTATACATACATATATATACTGTAATATTAAAGTGTCAAAAGTCGGGGAGTAACAATATATATATGTATATATATATATATGGATGGCAGCAATATCGAGAGAGAACTGTATAAATGAGCAGATCGTTGTCAAATCTTTCATTTGTACTGAAGTGATTCATGTGAAATGCTCTCTGAGGTGATTATGGTCCCACAACGGGAATTAACAAGGAATGCCAGTTGGTGTTAGATGAATGGGTCTTTCCATTTCGGGAATTGTTAGGAAATTTAATATTCCTCGATTCCTACTGCCAAGAATGTGCAGAAAATATCTATTTAAGCATTGCTTCTCCATGGAAAATTCAGAACTCGGCGTTAACAGGCAAGTAACATTGTTCCAAATAATTGCAACGATCTATGAGGACGCACTACTGTCCCCAAAAAGAAAGAACAATTCTTTTTCTTATCAAAAACTCTTTATTTATTCTTCCAAATTTATTTCATCGCCTTCACAGTTATCCCTTCCGGATACAATGCACTTATGCCAAATTTTTTTTCCAATCCTCAATGCATGCTAAAAAGTCATCGGCAGGGATGGCCTTCAAAGCGCCCGGCAATTTACGTTGAATCTCTTCAATCGACACATACTGGTGTCCCCGGAGGGGTCTTTTGTATTTAGGGAATAGCCAGCAGTCGCATGGTATAAATACGGTGGTTGTGTCATTTTTGGTGAAAAAGTCACGAAGAATCAATGCAGTGTGAGCTGGCGCATTCAGTGTTTTCGGTACAAATCGAGATTTAACGCATTTGAGACAAATGGAACTGACCTATCCTTTTTAAATTCCAACATCATCATCAAGGTCTCTAATTATAAACCGACTTTTTGTAAGCACCAACTATTTAATTTTTTGGACGTGAACTTCGTCGGTTGAGGTTGAAGGTGAACCAACGGGCTCTTCGTCTTCAACGCGTTCTTTGCCTTCTTTGAACTGTTTATACCTATTCTAAACATTTCTTTTCGATATAGGAATGCTCACCAAATGCCTTCTGCAACATTCTATACGTTTCCGGAACTAAAATTTAATGCAAGTTCTTTGCTCAGTTAATTCAGACAGTTCAAAAATCGCTGGAATCAGTTTTAGCGTCTCACAAAGCCAAGTGTAACTCAAACACTAATGAATAATTTCACGTCAAATTTCACACAGATGTCAAGGACAACGCCAGCAACTAAAAAAGAAATAAAATTGAAATTCTATAAGCACCGGGAATTTTAAATTGAAAATTGGTCTTACTTTTTGGACACGACAATATGTTTCTCATAATTTAAATTGTGCTCTGGTAGAGAAAGTAGTAGATCTAAGTAGTTCGTTTATTGTTTGCCATGTACGAAGATAACCAATGTCCCAACACCGTGAAAGTAAAGACACAATGGAGAGAAAAATGTTTTCTACGTAACAGTTGGGCTGAGAAGTTCGTAGGCTAATACATAGATGGCGCTACTAGTATTAAATCCATATGAGCTTTAGTTAGCCCTAACCGTCAACGTTATGTCAAAATAAATTTGACAGCTGTTGCACCATTAGTATGTGAGTTATAGCATTTTTAGTGAAGTTATAGCATTCCATAAACTCCTTGAATTTTAAATTGAAAATTGTTCTTACTTTTTGGATGCAGTAGTAAGTTATTTATTTATATTTAAAATTCTAAAAATTAATTTTGGTTTATCAGAAATTCTAGAAAATCAGCCATGTCCCTTTGGAAGAGCTTATAGTCTTAAAATAAACATGGCTGCTGATTAAATGTGAGAAACAACGAAGAGAATAGGAAACAGCTGACTATCAAAAATACATTTATTTTTAAAATGACTTGTTAAGTTATAAATCTCACATTTTTATTCTTTCAATTATAATCATTATAAAAAAATTATTATATGCAATTAAAGACAATTTTTTTTTGAACTAAAATGAAAATAATATGATTATCTATTTTACTGATGTAGGGGCCTGAATGGCCGAGTGGCTAGCGCTCTGGCGCTTGGCACCACAGGTTTCGGGTTCGAGTCCCGGCGGTGCCATGGATGTTTGTAGTGGTTCGGAATACACTTTAAACCGTACGTCCCGGTCTAATAGGATCGTAGAGCGTTGCGGGGGCATTGTTACTCCACGTCCGTGGCTTATCTTCAAGTTACACGCGCCCCCTGGGTAATGCAAAGTGAGTAACATCTTTGCAGCGCTAGCCTTAAGGTATCCAAGACCAAGTTGTCTAAGTGTTTGCCAGCTGCATTAGAAAGGAAAAAAAATAAAGAAAGTTGTATATGACATCAGATTCAAATATGAAAATGAAGATAATGTCAAGGGAATACATTAACGAAGAGTTTTTTAATTAAATTGGAAAAGACCAAAAATCAAATGGAAATTGTTCGCATATTATATTTCATGTTAATTAAATATACTTAAAAATGTGATAAATCTGATATATGTATGTACTTGTAAATGTGAATAAAAACATTAATGGATATTTAATCATATATGTAATGAAAAATATATATAAAACACAGCTGTTAAATGGAAAATATGGAACTATAATTGATTAACTTGAAATTTAAATCATGCATTATGAGAAGCAAAAACCTTTTCTTTAATATTTAAGATATTGCAAATTAAAAATTATAATAAGGAAATAGATAGGAATTACAGTCATGGCCATTATTTTGCTATTTACACAATCTTTGCTATAAAATTTCAATGAAAAATTAAAAATATAAAATTATAATATAAAATTAAAAAAAAAAATGTTATAATAAATAAAATTAATTAATAATTAATATTAGAATTATATTATAATATAAAATTGTATTTATATTTTATGTTTGAACATCAAAAGCCGCCTTTTTTTTTAAATTTTTAATGGAGTTAAAATAAATTTTAATCTTTTATTATTGTACAGTACCAATAAAAATAATTCTTCATTTCATTAACATTAGTCTAAAATAGTAATTTATGGTAAATGCAGTGCAGATATGCACTCAATTTATTTTGAACCATATTAAAACGAGAATACTTTAAAAAACTACACCATTGCTCATGATTTCTTCTAATACGACGGTACTGAAAATCTTAAAAATATTTTGTGATTAATAATTTTACTCAAGTCAGCATGGAATTTGTTGCTGTTTCTTATTCCACTTGGCTGGCCAAGTCCGCGAACCCATACGTACTCATGATTGAAGGGGAAGGAAGCAGCTTCTGTTATGATGGAGCACCCGTAGGTAGAAGTCTGACTTTGGCTCCGTGACGCTCTTACAGTCATAGGAGACCGGGACCTACGGCTTAAAGTGGATTCCGAACCACTACAAACATCCATGGCACCGCCGGGATTCGAACCCGAAAGCTGTGGCACCGAGCGCTAGACAATCGGCCATTCAGGTCCCAAATTTGTGAATGCCAACGGCACGCGGTGTTCCCAGGTGGTCACCCACCCAACTACTGACCCCCGCCCAATGATGCTTGACTTCGGTGATCTAACGAGAACCGGTATATTCAGCATATTATGGCCGTTGACAGCATGGAATTTATTATATATATGTAAGCAAAATTGCAAATGATTTTAGTTTCAAATGCGTCAAGGGAAAATATATAATATAGAGATATTAGAGAGTTTTTGCATACCGTATTTTGGACATCCGTTATTTTTTTCTCCCTAGCGCGCATGCTCATAAGAAATTGCGCATGCGTAACTGTAATAATGTTTCCTATGAGCATGCGCGCTATGGAGAAAAAAATAACGCACGTCCAAAATACGGTATGCAAAAACTCTCTATTGTCAAAAGAAAATATTAACGACGAGTGTTTTTAATCAAATTATAAGGGATCAAATGACTAATGTAAATTGTTTGCACATTAGATTTCATGATAATTAAATATACTTAAAAATGTCAAATGTCTGATATATGTATATGTGACTGTTAAATCTGATTAAAACTTTATTGAATTAATATTATTGTGACATTATTGGATATTTAATCATATATGTAATGAAAAATAAATAAAAAAAAAACATCTTTTAAATGAAAAATACTAAATTTCACTATAATTGATTAAATTGAAATTAAATTTAGAGATTTATTTAATCATGAATTATAAAATGCGAAGGAAAACGGTACAAAGTAAATCTTTTTATTTAATATTTAAGGTATTTCAAATCAAAAATTATAATCGGGAAATATATGAATATAGTTATGACATTTTTTTTGTTATTTACGCAATCTTTTCCATAACACTATAATACAAAATTAAAATATAAATTTATATAATATAATAATACATTATAATATAGAATTAAAAAAAATAATATTATAATGAATAAAATTCATGAATAATTAATATTAAAGTTATATTATAATATAAAATTGTATTTATATTTAATGCTGGCACATCAAAAGCTGCGTTTTATTTAAAATTATATTTTTATTTAATTTTTTACTGTAAAACTACGAATTTTAGGATTTTTATACTTATATTCCATTACAGTAATGGAGATAAAAAATATTGTAAACCATTATTATCATACAGAAGCAATAAAAATAATTCTTCATCTCGTTAACATTAGTCTAAAATAGTAATTCGTGGTAAACGGAGCGTAAAAATGCACTCAATTAATTTTGAACCGTATTCAGCATTAGAAAAACATCATTATTCATGATTGTTTTTTTAATCATTCGCATAATGATTTTTTTTTACAGCTGGATGCAAATGAAAGAAAAATAAATTAAAATATAGCTCTTTAGCTTATATCATCACTTCATCTTATTAAAAACTATGATCATCGAGTCACTTGTTATTTTTTACATTAAAAAGAGAAAAAAAATGTTCTTGAAACAGGTGATTAATAAGACTTAACTTTTGAGAAAAAAAAATATATTAATTTTTTTCCCCGGAAAGAGAAATGAAATTGAAAATCAAAATCAAACGTAAATGCGACAACTCGGAAATTGCAGTTACACAATTTAAAAAAGAAAAATCCTCCTTCGAGTTAAATTAAGTTGTTTGCTTCTTCTGTGAGTAAGTAAAAAGGGAAGACCTTGTTTTATGCCATAAAATAAAATAATAAAGATAAAATATGCATACGAAATCAAAAAGGCCATAACACCTGATGAAGATGGATATAAATTTAAGCTTTCACATAAAATACAAAGTCCTTTTATAGCAGTCTCCGAGTTTCATTACGTTAGATTGAAATAAAAATGGAATTCAGTATTTTCGGAATAATTTTAATTTAGTACTTTGAAAATAAAATTTTTTCCTGTTGTTTTAATTTATTCAATATGTTACCAAGAGTTTTTAATCATATGTTTAATGGATATTTTGTAGAAATACAAAAACTGTGAAAAACAGAAAGCCGTTTACTAATTTCAGATAAATCTAAATATATTTAAAATATCATACATCTGATATATGTACGTGGTTGCTAAATCGGATTATAAAATTATTGAACAAACAATATTGTGTCATTATTGAATATTTAATCATATATATAATGAAAAATAAATTTAAACCAATCTTTTAAATGTAAAATATGAAACAGGGCTATAATTTATTAATTTGAAATTTAATTAAGAAATTTAAATCGTGCATTATGAAAAGCAAAAGAAAATTATACAAAGCAAAAGTTGTTTATTTAACATTTAAGATATTACAGATTAAAAATTATAATGGAGAAATAGATTGAAATTGCAGTCAGGACAATATTTTTGCTATTTACAAAATCTTTACCGTAAAAGTGAAGTAAACTTGCATTTTTATTTAATATTTACAATTTGAGGCCGCTATTTTTTATGATTTTTATATTTAGTTACCGTAATGTAGATAAAAAATATTTTAATCCATTATTATCATACAGAATAAACAAAAATATTTCTTCCTCATTGTTAACAGTAGTCTAAAATAGTAATTTCAGGTAAATGGAATGTAGACATGCACTCAATTTATTTTGAACCATATTAAGCATTGAATGATTTAAAAAAAGCATTATTATTTATGATTGTTTTTTTAATCATTCGCATAATGATTATTTTTAAGCTGGATGCAAATGAAAGAAAAATAAATTAAAACATAGCTCTTTAGCTTATATCATCTTATTAAAAACTGTCATAATCATGTCACTTGTTACTTTTTACATTAAAAAGGAAAAGATTTGGGCTTAAAATAGATGATTAATTTTTTATTTACTTATATTAATGGAGATAAAAATATTTTAAACCATTATTATCGTACAGATCAACAAAAATATTTCATATCGTTAACATTAGTCTAAAATAGTAATTCGAGGTAAACGGAGCGTAAATATGCACTCAATTAATTTTGAACCATATTAAGCATTAAAAAAACATCATCATTATGATTTTTTAATCATTCGCACAATGATTTTTTTTTACAGCTGGATGCAAATGAAAGAAAAATAAATTAAAATATAGATCTTTAGCTTATATCATCACTTCATCTTATTAAAAACTATGATCATCGAGTCACTTGTTACTTTGTACATTGAAAAGAGAAAAATATTGTGCTTGAAATAGATGATTAATCACACTTAACTTTTCAGAAAAAAATATAGTACCTTTTTTCCGGAAAGAGAAATGAAATTAATAATCAAAGGCAAACTCCGGCAACTCGGAAATTACTTCTCTAGTTTCCCAATTTAAAAAAGAAAAATCTTCGTTCGGGTTAGATTAAGTTGTTTGCTTCTTCTGTGAGTAAGTGAAAAGGGGAAAACTTCGTTTTATGCTCTAAAATAAAATAATAAAGATTAAATATGCATGCGAAATCAAAAAGTCCATAATATTTGATGAATACGTATATAAAAGTTAAGCTTTCACATAAAATACAAAGTTCTTTTCATAATAATCTCCGAGTTTCATTACGTTAGATTGAAATAAAAATGGCATTCAGTATTTCTGGAATAATTTTAATTTATAACTTTGAAAATAATATTTTTTCCTGTTGTTTTAATCTATTCAATATGTTATTAAGTGTTTTTATTATGTGTATAATTTATATTTTGTAGAAAAATATCTCTTTAGATTTAAAATTAAAACTATATAGATATTTTTAAGTTTAAATATGTGACTGTGAATACGTTTACCGTTGCTTACTTATCTTAAGGATTTCTGCTAAAATAAGTAATTTTACAGAAATATTAAATAATGGAAATTTACGAAGTAAATTTATTAATAGGAACATAAAAACCTGAAAAAAAAAACACTTACGAATTTCAGTTAAACCTTAAACAAAGGAATAAAATTTTAAAAAAATGTTTCTGGATATGAAAATGAATATTACAAATTATCAAAATTGCAATATCATGAAGAATTTGTCAAATTACAATTAAGTTTGCCAAATTAACAGAAAAGCAAAATTGATGCACATGCTCATGATGAGAAATTCTTATCAATAATCACGTGAAATATAAAAATAGAAGTTATTAAAAATTCCATAAGTATTTTATTGTATTTTTCAACTTTCATGTGGTAATAGCTTTGCATCATTAATGTATTAAAGCAAATTGTTTCTATAGATTACAAATATACAATAGTATTATTAGAATAGCAAAATTAATGCGCATGCTCAGGAAGAGAACTTCTTATCAATAGTCACGTGATTTATAAAAATAGATGTTATTAAAAATTGGATAAATAGTTTATTGTATTTTTCAACTTTTATGTGGAAATAAATATGTATCTTTAATGTATTAAAGTAAAATTATTTCTATAGATTTAGAATGTCAATACATTTTTAATAGAAAATAATAAAATGCTTCAATAGTCTGCAGAAAGTAAGATTTTCTGACAAGGTTATTTGACCATAGAAGAGTAAGAATCGTAACAGCGATGCTATTGTAGAAAGAATATATGAAAGACAACAGTGAGAATAAAAACCCCCACACTATTGGATAAAGAAGTGATGAAAAGACATCCATTTCATAGTATGTAGTACAATGGAGTACTGCTATATGTCTTCCATTGTCTGTTTCAGCAACTCTATGGTGTATTGCATAAGGACTGTTTGGATGTATTTTTTTGTGTATTCATATTGTATTCTTTTATTGACACAATGTCGTGTTTTCTGGTGATCTCGGTTGGAATTATACTAGGATGACGTCGAAATGTGGGTTACAGTACACGGTGTTCAGCGCTATTGTATTATATCCACACATTAATATGATATGAGAAGAAAGAAAATTTTATATAGAAACATATGGTAAAACTCTGGACAAAGATAAAGCCCTTTATGAATTTTAATCAATAACTTATGTGCAAATTGTAAAAAATTAGTTGTTCATATGAAATTGAATATCACTCACAACATGTGACAAATATTGTAACAATTTTCATGTAAATTATTTCTTTATTTATGCTTAATTTAGGTTTCTCACATCTTATCAATTTTGCCACTCATATATATATATATATATATATATATATATATATATATATATATATAAATGAATGGCAAAATCCCTAAAATGGGAAATATACTTATATATACACTATGTGGAAGAAA